GGCCCCTCCGCTGCCGAGCTGGCGAGGGGCAGTGGGCGGATTTCGGGGGGGTGGCCGCGGCCGGCCGTGCTGTGCGTGGGGCCGGCGAGGGAAAAGTGGAGACCAGGCCTCTGGGGACCGGAGAGCGCCGGCCCGAGGCCACAGGCCCAAGACGACTTGGGGGACCCTTGTAGGGCTGAGTTTGGGGTGAACGAGAAACCGACGGGGACGTGCGTCTGCTGCCTACTTGAAGGGCGGTGGCCGCATGGCACCGAGTGGTCGCCACCGGTCCGGCACGCCGAAGACACACCCAATTGTTTTAATAATTGTTTCTTAAAGTCAGTCGTTTCGTCAGTTTTCCAACTTTTTGCCCTGACACTTGCCTGGTACATAAATCAAGATTCTGAACAGCAAAAAGTCAAATAACTGTCTTTTTGTTTCTTGAAGTATGAGAGGGTGGAAATGTCAGGAGTGCGTAAATTCTCTTCCCACGTATCTAGTATTTTGATGACTTATTTAACAGCTGTTGAATGTAGGTGATAAACTTTGAAAGGTGAACATGCAACATCGTAGGTTTTTTCCCCCTACACACCCCATTCCTTACCTTTTTTTTTATCTGTAGCATCTGTGCCCCATCAAATATGCTAATTATTTCACTTCTTTATTGTTTGCCTTCCCCGTCCCTGAAATGTAACCTCAGTGAGAGCGGAGATTTTGATTTGGTTTTTTTTTTTTACTGGTCTATGTCCAGTACCTAGAATAATGGCCTGGAACGTGGTAGGTGTTTAAAAAATATTTGTTGAATGAGTTATATTAACAATTCTTGAAGAAAACAAATGGAATAAAACCACCAGTGACCAAAAAATGAGTAAATTTTTTTAAATGGAGCCCATTTGTTGTTTTTTTTTTAATGTTGTTATTAGATAATTTAATATTTTGTTTTTGCTTCTTTTCAAATGAGCTTTTCTGGATCTAAGTAGATTTGTTTTTTTTATTTCTGATGTGTGTATGTTTGAAACCGCTGCTGAAGAGTTTGGTGCAGGTGGAGCGGAAGGGAACCAACGTGTCACAGGCACTTTATCTTCGTTTTAGACTGAGCTTGTGCCACTTCCCTACTGGGCCACCCGAGTCTTAGCCTCGACTTTTCTGCTCTATAAAGGGAAATAACATCACCTGTGGCATTCTCACAGCCATTGTTGCAAGGATCAGATAACGTGAGGTGATAGTTTATAAAGCATTATATGAATGAATTATTAAAAATGCAACATTAAACATTTGTACTCATTTTCTGAATTGAATTTGATATTTATATCTATTTTCTGTGCTGATTATTATAAGTAGTACTTCTGTATATGCAGTGTAGTCAACAATTTTCTGTATCTTGCCATTACCCATGCCCACATGGTAAGAATGCCTGATTTTAAAACATAATGTAAAAGTAATAAATACCTGTAAGGAGCCCTGCTGGCATAGTGGTTAAGAGCTCGGCTGCTCGACAGTTCAAATGCACCACCTGCTGCTTGGAAACCCAAGTTCTACTCTGTCCTGCAGAGTCGCTGTGAGTCAGAACCAACTCGGACGGCACCTCACCTAACGACAGCAAATACATACAAATGCAATGCTTTGAATGACAGGAATATAAATCAGAAATGATGATACTCATAAATGGTGTAGCTTTGCTTTTAGGTAAAGTATTTCACCTTTTATCACATTTCCAGGAAAGTTCACCACCTATACCAGGCCTCAGATGTTAATGATTTTTTTTTTTAACAGTGAGTGGATTTTCTCCTCTGTGTAAATGTGTTGATTTAAATTTTGTAAGTCTAAATTGACACAACAGAGATACTAAATAGAAGTTTTCTTTCAAATCAATTCTAAAGGGACTGTTACTGTGGTATACGGAAGAGGAAAGTTTATGCAAGTTGTACATTTTCCTTACCATATGTTAAAGTTTTAGGATTTAAAAGCATATTATTTGCATACAGAAGAAAAAATAGACTGCATTAGTTTTGCTATTTTGACTTTTAAAATAATTGCTGCTGAATCTCAAAGTGAGCAGAATTACAGAATTACAGTAATTGTGCTAGGGTAATAGAGAAGTTAATGTTTTCCCAGTAGAGCTGTTAAGCTTGTGTATAAATATATTGAGGAAATGTCAGAGGATTTACGGTGACATTGACAAAGCAAAACAGATAGTGTATTACTTAGCCAAAATGAAGAGCAATGTCCATATAGTGTAAAAGCAGGGATTCTGGAGCTAAAGGGAGGACCTGTGTTCAAGTTAGGGTTCTTCAGCTTGATAACTAGGTAGCCTAGGGCCTATCATCTGACTTCCCAGAACTTAAATTTACAGAAGGTATCTGTAACATGGGGCTCATTAGGTTACTCTGAGAAGTAACTAATATGTGTAATGCCTAGTTCAGTATTTGGCTTAATGGGAGGCACTCAAGTAAATGGTAGCTATTATTATTCCTTGCAAATTTATCAAAGTAGGAAAATAGAAGGCAGCGTTTTTATGTGAGAGAAAAGCCCAACAGTTGTCATCTAAAGAGATTGTATATGGATACTGAAAAGGTTGATAAAGAATTAGTGGACTTTGAGAAAATGTATGAGTTTACTAATATCCAGGAAACTTCATGTTATGAAAAATTGTTTGTGAACTTTGAAATCACGGTTTTATTGCAGTCGTTCCACATAATGCAAGTCATGGTCTCTAACGGTATTATATCTGAGTTAGGAAAATTTGAACAGTTGAAAATAGTGAAGAAGCCTGGGAGGGGCTCTGAAAGTGAGGATGCAGAAGAGGAGTGGGGAGTTAAGGGTTCCCAGGAGGAGTATTTCCTACTTTTTTACTTGCCAGATGTTGAAAACTCTAGGTTGTTTGTGTTGTGCGAGTTTGGGGGACATTTACAATTATAACTATCTTAGAACAGTTTTGGAGTTTTGTTGTGTTATTAAGTACGACTTAATACTGTTGTATTCTTTCTTTTTCTCTTTTTTTTTTAAGAACTTAATTTTATATTAGCTGGTGGAGAAGTAGAATTTGATATTGGATACCTTTCAGGCATCTAGCCCCAGTAGTAGTCACGCCTTCCTCCGATGAGTACAAAATGGTTGACATCTCTTGTCAAATAAGATAAGATTACCAAGCCCCAACTGGTGACCACTTAATTGAAGAAATTTTATGAGAGCCATGGTATTACGTACAACATAGAATTAAGATAATTCATTAGAGTTTGGGGGTAGCCTGTTTCAGGTGTATCTGAATAATTCTCATTTTTTTCTTGTAAATAGAGAGCAGTGGTATAAATGTTATGCCTCAGTTATAAACTCAGTTATTATTTTTACTTTGAGTGCATGTCTTCATTTCTTAGTGTTGCTGTCACAGAAACACCACAGTTGGGTGGCTTTAACGAACGAATTTATTTTTTCACAGTTTAGAAGGCTAAACGTTCTAATTCGGCTCTGGGGGAAGGCTGTCTCTGTCTGCTTTGGGGGAAAATCCTTGTCTCAGGTTCTCTCTCTTCCTCAGCTCCTTGGTGATCTCCATGTGGCATCAGTCTTTCCCCATTTGTGCTTCCTTTGTTCTATGCCAAATCTGCTCTTTAATATCTCAAAAGTGATTGGTTTAAAACATATCCCATAGTGATATGGCCTCATTAGCATAACAAAGGAAATCTATTCCTAAATGGGATTATATCCACAGGTATAAACCAAAAAATCATCAAGTCGATTCTGACAGAGTAGAACTGCCCCATAGGGTTTCCAAGGAGCTGCTGGTGGATTTGAACTGCCAACCTTTTGGTTAGGAGCTGAGCTCTTAACCACTGTGCCACCAGGGCTCCAGGTATAGATAGGAGTTAGAATTTAAAACACGTGTTTTTGGGAGGACACAATTCAATCCATAACAATGCATAACATATTTCTGTAGCATATTTATATTACAAACTAATCTATTTTACTATTGATTAATTCAAGTATTAGTTTAACTAAAGCAGTGCTGGCTGGTTTGTGAGGCGTAGGAGGCCTGGAAATGGCTAGGAGCATGATTACTGGTTTAAATTTTCAGTAAACTTTTTTGGATGTGTAGTTTGTATTTTTCCTCTTCTCACTGTACTTAGGCCATATGCTAAACTAGCTGGAGGCCAGATTTTAATTTTTTTTGGAAGCCTAACATGAAGGGATTATCTAAGTTCTGTTGCTTTTAGAATTTGATACTAAATTTATCTTTGAAGAATTTCATTTGTCATTTGTAAAGGGCTCTTAAACAAAATGTTTTTAACTATGGTAATGACGACCACATATTCCAAACTGAAAACAGGACGGTGACGGTTGTGTGTGTGTGAGAATTTATATGGAGAATCGAAACAAATACGTAAACTAAACAAAATTTAGTAAAACCAAACAATTTTATAAAAAAAATAATTACATGAAGGCAGTGTTGCCCTGGAAACTCATGTTGTCTTTCTGTTCCACTATTCCATGTGAATGACCAGAGTTATAATATGTAGCCTTACTGGCCTTTTCTACTCAAGTGACCAGTTCATAACTCACTTTAGTTGACATAGCCTGGACCTGATGACTCAGTCCTGCCTTGTTTCCAGGTCCTGAATTCCAGTATAGCAGAGTGCAGGCACAACCGACATTTTGTTCACCTCCCTCATTCTACTACTCAATTGCCAGTTCTCCACCTAGTCCAGGATTTTATGGTGCCTTGGCCTGCTTTCCTTACCCCCAATATGTTGCCAACTCCCTCATAGCTGTGCTTCTCTTCCTAAAGCCCAGAACTACTCAGCCGCATTTTCCCCATGCCTTGCCGCCCCTGAGAAAGTCATAGACTCGTGCTGATAGAATCTGTTACAAATCACAGGTTTCTAACCTCAGATAAGAGCTTATCCAGTGTGAATTTTTTCAGTTTCTTGCCTTTTGAACTTATTGGTCTTATTTGTCTCATCCATTACTACTTTCTTCTATATTAGTTAATTCTCAGAGTAACCTAATGAGCCCCAAAGTCTTATACGTGGCTTGAATGCTTACTCCACCTTATATTTTATCTGGTATTTATTCAGTAATACTGATTGATCATCTTATATGTGCCAGAAACCATGCTAGGCTCTGAGCACACAGTGATGAACAAAAGCGGGCATGGTCCCAGCTCTTCTGGAGCTTGCTTACTAATGGGCAAGTGGGAAATTATTTATATAATCACGCCAGCATATATGTTTGGAAGAAAAGGGACACAGTTCTCTGAGATAATATAACAAAGGAAATGACCTAGTTTAGGAAGACAGGGTAGGCTTCCTTGAAAAGTTATGATTGAACCAAGCTCTGAAGTGAGGAGGTTTTCTATCACAGACCCTGTGGTGGGAGGATCTGCATGGGGCACGGGAGCAGGAGGAAATGATCTGAGGCTGGAGAGGCAGAGGGGACAGGGTCAGACCACAGAGTCCTATGAAACCGTTGCCACTGAGTCAATTCTGACTCATAGCGACCCGAAAGGACAGAGTAAAACTGCCCCATAGGGTTTCCAAGGAGCAGCTGGTGGATTTGAACTGCCAACCTTCCACATTAAAGGTTTTGTTCCTTATTTTAGGAAGAATGGGAATCCAGTGAAGGATTTTAAGCAGGTGGGGTGGGAGGGGTGGTAAGATGATTAGAATATGACTCTGGTTGACTGGCTCTGAGGGGCTCCAAAGACCACTTAGTAGGCCAACTATCTTTCTAAAAGGCATATATGAACTTCCTCCTCAAAATTCTCCAGTGGTTGTAGAATAAAATCTAAGCTGCTTGGCTTGACAAACAAGGCCCTTTCTAGTACTTGATAACGTTTGTAGGTCTTCTGTCACTTCTTGGTGTGTGTTATGCCTAGCCTAGTATTTACAGCTACCTGACGTTTGCATTTTCTGTTTCTTCTACCTATACTGCCCTCCTCATTCCTTTCCGTGAGACTAGGGAGCTTCTATTTTCCAACAAGACACAACTCCAGCACCACCTCTGAGAAACCTTTCCAGAACACGCGTCATTCCCCACTCCAGAAAAAACAAACAAAAAAGTTATTTACCGTATTTTGAGTACCCCTGTTGCATAAGCTATTAACACTGATTTTACAGCACTGTAACTGTTTGTTTACCTGTCTTTCTCCCTTACTGAGCTCCTTGTCATTCGGGAGTATATTATTCATCTTTGTTATCCATTCTTGCCTACCGCAGTGCCTGGTGCCTGTAAATAGTGAATAAGCATTCCGTTTTTCTTTTCTGTCCACTTTACTCTTACCCATAATTAGTTAAACATGTATTGAGCACTTAACTTTGCCAGGTGTGTGGGAGATTCTCTCTCTCACACACACCCTACCTTTGATCCATTTTACTCATGTTAACTGTGCTTTTTTTATTAATTCACATTTTAAATTTTTCTTTGACAGCAACTTTGTGTTCATTGTACAGATCTAGAATAGAGAATCATTGTCAAATCACTGTTGACTGGAACTGCAGAGTGCCTCTTGATACCTTAAAGCGAGGGTGGATTGCACAACCTCATCTAAAGCGCAGAATGCCGTGGTGAACTATGTTAACTCTCCAGATCAACTCCTTAGTGATCAGGAATTCCCACTGTGCCTGTCAGGGTGCCACAGAGCTGGGGTTCCCTTGGTTTTTAGCTTTGGGGATAGAGCTTTGTAATGACTTTCCCCTGGTTTACTGTATGGGAGAGGGTCACATATTGATTTGAACCTTTTTTTCTTTTTAGATAACGGCAAAAGCGTCTATCATTTTTGTTACTCTTCAGTACAATGTTACCCTCCCTGCAACAGGTAGGTACTTCCTTTTAGAAATGTTTATTAAGTAGAAAAGTTCAGTTAAACAAACATGGAAATTTCCATGAATATTAGGTTCTGCATTAGTCTCACAGATCTCATCCAGGTTAGACTGAACATTATTTTGATGATACTGTAATGCAAGAGCTGACATTGTTGGTTGACTTCACCACATACATCATATAAAAAACAGTTTTCTGTGTTTAATGTTTATTTATATATTGTGAATAAGCTTGAAATTTCATCGAAGAACTTTTTTTTTGTTGCCTTCTCTACCCTCTGATCTTTTCATAAGAAACTTCTTTCTGGAGAAGGATGTAGAACGTAATTCTAACTCACAAAAAAAAGACCAGATTTGCTGGCCTAAAGGAGACTGGAGAAACCCCGAGAGTATGGCCCCCAGACACCCTTTTAGCTCAGTGGTGAAGTTATCTCCGAGGTTCACCGTTCAGTCTGGGAGTGGACAGCCCCGTAAAACCAAATGAGACTTACGAGATACAGTAGTCCAGTGACAAGGGCCAGAAGGCAGAAGGGGGCAAGGAAGCTGGTGATAGGAAACCCAAGGTTGAGTAAGGATATTGTTGATGTGTTGTGAGATTGTTGACCATTGTCATAGGGCAACATTTGTACTAACTGTTAAATGAGAAACTATTTTGTTCTGTAAGCCTTCATCTTAAGTGAGAATAGCAGCACAATTGGAAGAGCATAGTTGATGTCACTGAACTGTGCATGTAGAAATTTTTGAAATAGTGTATCTTTGGCTATGTATATTTTCACCAAAAAGAAAAAAAACGTTGAGAAGGGAGAGGGTTGACATGTTGTGGGGTTGTTAACCAATGTCATAAAACAATATGTGTACTACTGTTTCATGAGAAACTATTTGTTCTGTAAGCCGTCACCTGAAGTATAATAAATTTATACATACATTGTTATGTGACTAATTGCTGTCCCTATACTGTGACAGCACACTCCTCCCTTCTAACCCCTGATTCCCCATGTCTGTTCAACCAGCTCCTAACCCTCTCTGCCTTCCCATCTCACCTCCGGACAGAAGCTGCCCATTTAGTCTCTTGTATCTACTTGAGCTAAGAGGCACACTCCTCACAAGTATCAGTTCATGTCCCACAGTCCAGTCCAATCCCTGTCTGAAGAGTTGGCCTCAGAAATTGTTACAGTTCTGGGCTGATAGAGAATCCAGGGGCCATGCTTTCCGGGGTTCCTCCAGTCTCAGTCAGACCATTAAGTCTGGTCTTCTTACTAGAATTTGAGTTCTGCACGCCACCTTTGCCATGCTCCATCAGGGACTCTTGTGTTCCCTGTCAGGGAGGTCATTGCTGGTAGCCAGGCACCATCTAGTTCTTCCGGTCTCAGGCTGATGAAGTCTGTGGTTTATGTGGCCCTTTCTGTCTCTTGGGCTGATACTTTCCTTGTGTCTTTGGTGTTCTTCATTCTCCTTTACTCCAGGTGTTTGGGACCAATTGATGCATCTTAGAGGGCCACTTGCAAGCTTTTAAGACCCCAGCCACCACTCACCAAAGTCGGATGCAAAACATTTTCTTAATAAGCTTTGTTATGCCAGTTGACCTAGATGTCCCCTGAAAGCATGGTCCCTGGACCCCTACCCCTGCTCCTCTATCCCTCAAAGTGTTTGGTTGTATCCAGGAAACTTCTTAGCTTTCGTTTAGTCCCGTTATGCTGACTTCCCCTGTAGTGTGTCATAAGAAACTTCTAAGAATAGATACTTAACATTTGTGTAAAGTGTCATTACTCAGTCCAGGCTTCTAAAGGCACGATGTCCAGGTTTAGTTTTTCTAACTTATGAGTGAATGCTTTTGACCTATAATAGCAATCCTTGTAAGCTTATTTTCATTTTCTTGTTGTGTTTACTTCTAACAGTTATTTTGATTAGAGAGAATGTCAGTAAGCTCTAGGAATTATCCAGTAATAGTATCCAAATGACATTTTTAGTTTATATTTCAAAAAGTTTTTCTAAATTATGCTATCTGAAAAATTGTGAAAGTTGATTGTCGTTAAATACAGTAATATAATTAACTAGCATGGGTAAGGGATGGGGTATTTGGGTAATAAAATATTAACATACTCAGGCAGTAAACCTGTTCTGTGGTTCTCTATTTAGAATGTAAGATCAGATACACAACATTGGTTTTTTTTGTTCCGTTACATAGTTTTGTAAATATTTGGTTTAGTGACTTAGTTATCAGGTTACTCAAAACTACAGAGTTTGTCTTGAAATTTGAATATGCTGAAGAAGAATGAAGCTCTTTTATCCAAATCATACCCAAACATATAAGCTTGAGAACAACAAGTGATAGCAGTTTATAAGTATTTGATTAAAATTTGTTTTAAAAAATTACAGCAATTGCAAGTGATTAAAAAAAATAAGTGATAGTTGTCACCATTTCTACTGCTTCTAGATCAAAACTAAATCAAATATAAGTAAATCAGTTTTTCTGTCAGAATCAAAATGTGGTTTCTAGTTTGAAAGTAGAAAGTTTTTCATAAAATGGGCAAAGGACTTGAGTAGACATTTTACCAAAGACATACAGATGGCCACCAAACACATGAAAAGATGCTCAGTGCCATTAGCCATCAGAGAGATGCAAATCAAAACCCAATGAGATACCATTTCACCCCCACTAGGATGGCTAAGATTTGCGGGGGGGGGGAGGGGGGAGGGAGAGGGGGGCGCAGAAAATAACAAATGTTCATGAGGATGCAGGAAATTGGAACCCGTATCCGTTGCTGGTGGATATGCAAAATGGTATAGCCATTGTGGAAAACAGTGTGGTGTTTCCTCAAAAAACTGAAAATAGAACTGCCATACCAAAAAAAAAACCAACCAAATATAACAAAACGTGTTGCCATAGAGTCCGCTCCAACTCCTAGTGACTCTATAGGACAGAGTAGAACTGCCCCATAGGGTTTCCAGGGAGCAGTTGGTAGATTCAGACTGCCAAACTTTTGATAAGCAGCTAAGCTCTTAATCACTGTGCACCAGGCCTCCAGAACTACCATATGACCCAGCAGTTTCACTCCTAGGTATATACCCAAAAGACCTGAAAGCAGAGACTTGAATAGAGACTTGTATACCAGTGTTCCTTCCAGCACTATTCACAATAGCCAGAAAGTGGACACAACCTAAATGCCCATCAGCAGACGAATGGATAAACAAAATGTGGACACACATATAGTGGAATACTACTCAGCCAGTAGGAGAAATGAAGTCTTGATACATGCTACAATATGGATGGAGCTTGAAGACATTATGCTGAGTGAAATAAGTCAGCCACAAAAGGTCAAATATTGTATGACGTCGCTTATATAGAAAGACAAGAGAAGGCAAACGTATAGGGATCAAGGTTATTAGTGGTTACCAGAGGTGAGCGGGAAGGGGAAAAGGAGGGTTAACACTGATGAAAATGCTGCATTGATTAAGGGCAGAGTTGCACAACCGATTATTATAATTGCTGTCAATAAGTTGCATACCTGTAAAAAGTTGAATTGGGAAAAGTTGCATGATAGATATTTTTACAGCAACAACAAAAAGAAGAGTAGCTGCTGAGGCTGCTTATGTACAGCCAAAAACCTCATGGGATTTGGTGTCTTGGTTTCCAGGTTTAGGGTCATGGTTTCATGGGACGTCTCAGATAATTGGCCTAATAACGTGTTTAGTGCTTCTGGTCTACCTCCTACTTCGATGGGCAGTGCCTGGGGTCTTAAAAGCTTGCAAGCGACCATCCGAGGTACAACAATTGGTCTCTATTCACCTGGAGCAACAGAGGAAGAAGGAGCGTCAGGAAAGGAGGAAATGGAATGTGTGGCTAATTGCCTCCATGAACAGCTGTCTCCTTTGCCATGAGACCAGAAGAACTGGATGGTGCCCGGCTACCATTACTGAACATTTGGATTAAAGATTCTATAGAAGAATCCTGATCAAAAGGGGGGAAAATACAGAACAGAATTTTAAATTCTCATGGACTCCAGACTTTCTGGAGCCAAGGGGGCTAGAGGAACCCCTGAAATTATTGCCCTGAGATAATCTTTAAGCCTTAAACCAAAAATAGTCCCTTAAGTCTTCTTAAAACCAAACAGTAGCTAAGCTTAACTAATAAGAAATACCTGCCTTGAGCATTATGCTCTTTTAAGAACTATTTCTATGGGATCAAATTGATACCAGCAACTCGAAGGATTAGATAGGAACCTTAGGGGCCAGTGAATTTATGTTAATGAGGGAGGAATAACTCAGAAAAGGAGGGTGAGAATGGTTGCAAAGCTTGAAAAATGTAATATCACTAAATGGTACATGTAGAAACTGTTAAATTGGTATATATTTTGCTGTGTATATTCTCAGCAACAACAACAAAATAAATTAAAAAAAAAAAAGTAGAAAGTTTCTAAAGTTCTTGGGAAAGAAATGTAAATGGGCTAAGTATAACTTTGTTAACCTGATGTGTACCTCTGGGGTAGTACCAGTTTTACAGCCTTGGTGAGGATCTGAGTTTGGCTTCCCCTCCCCTGTTTTTTGGGCTTTGATGGTTGTTTCTGACATGTGTCAAGTCTTTGTAATTAGTTTCTGAAGTTTTAGCATTTCCAGATACCCTCCTTGATTTCCAGTGCCCTAAGGCTCAAGATGTCTAAGAGCAAGTTACCTTTGTAGAATTTAATTGTTAGGTTAGTCTAATTTTGTTTGTTTTTTAACTATGTTGTACTTAGTGCTCTTTTTATAATCTTAATGTGTATTTTTTGTGTGTGTGTCCTTTTTGGCCTTCAGAAGAACAAGACACAGAGTCAGCGTCCCTTTATTACTATGGTGTCAAAGATTTGGCTACAGTTTTCTTCTACATGCTAGTGGCAGTCATTATTCATGCCATAATTCAAGAGTATGTGTTGGATGTAAGTATACAACCTTAGAAATCTATACTTTGTAAACTACTAGCTCTTATACTATATAGTTGTATATTAAGTGTATTTTATAATATATTCTTAATTACTAATGGCTGTTTTTATTTTTAGAAAATTAACAGGCGAATGCACTTCTCCAAAACGAAACACAGCAAGTTTAATGAATCTGGTCAGCTTAGTGCATTCTACCTTTTTTCTTGTATTTGGGGCACATTCATTCTAATCTCTGTAAGTATGTACTGTGCTTGAATTTTCACCCTTAAAGGATTGTGTTGAATACACACAATATACTTTTAATGCTCTCAGGCAAATCCTAAACTTAAAGAAAGTTCTTTTTTTTAATCAACCTTATCTTTTTTTTTTAAACACTTCTATTGTTTTTCTTCATCTAAGATTTGGAACTCTGCTAATAAACTCTGCTAATAAAGTAAGAGTTTTAGTGATAAACTTGTCGTTTAGTTTTTATACAGCAGAAATTCTAAACTATATTTTAAAAGTTTCAGAAAGCCTTACTCATTTACAGTCAATCTGAATGTTATTTCTATATCTTGTAATCATTTGCAGATATGTCCATATTAACAAAAAATGTAAGATGTCAGTGATACTTTTACTATGGTTACATGAGTTGTACTGTTTCTAGCCATTTCCCTTTTTAAAATCAATACAGGTGTTTTCCAAACAACTTAAAATGTATGATTTTTTTTACTTAAGGGAATCAATACCTTTAATTTTATCTTCCTAACTAAGGAGGAGAAGGCAGTATCTACTTTAGTGTTAGTAATAATAATCCCTGAAATTTATGTGGTATTCCACAGTTTACGTAACTTTTTTGAGTTTGTTAGGACACACAGTATTTTTTTTTTTTTTTTGTCACCATATTAAAGGTGAATAAATAGGTAAGGTGAATTTTCCAGGCATAACAATGTTGGAGGTAAACTAAACTCAACATTTCAGATTTGTAATCCAGTGGTCATTTAACTCTGCTGCTTTAATTATACTTTATAGATATACTCAAGTTTTAGCTTAAAATCTATTGTAAATTTTTTTTAAAACATAAGCATTTCGGTGGGAAAATACAAATCTTGGTTAAGAAAAGTCACATGAGATTTTAACATAGGCATTAGTTCTCACTGAATAAATGACCTAATCTGGGCATCTAAGAAAAAGACGTGGTTAGTATGTGGACGTAATTCCGTAAAGTATGGCAGCACCCTGACCCTGCTCTTCTCAGGCGCTGCATCTTCCCTCAAGCCCCTCTCTCATCACTGGAGGCAAATCCATCTCTCCCGTGGCTCTTGTACCTTTGTTGTGTACCAGTTCTGTTTTTGGTTGGTTGGTTGTTTTGCATACATGTATTTTTTACTCCATGAGATGGAAAGATTTTCAAGGCCAAGAGTCATGTCTTGTTTGATTTTGTATCTCTCATGTTGATTTTCACTTACTAAAAGAAGCAATTCAAACTAAATTGAAAAGAAAACAGCTAAAAAGTTTGACTTCAGTAGACTCTTTGGAACTTGACATAGGAATTGTAAATGTGACAAGTGAAAATATTGCCTTATTATTTGAGAAGCTTGCATTACACTCATAGGCTAATCTTTGTATCTTTTTTCTTAGGAAAACTACATTTCAGACCCAACTATCTTGTGGAGGGCCTATCCCCATAACCTGATGACGTAAGTCATTTTTAGCAGGCCTTCCTTAGTTAAGGACCATGCTCATGTCACTTTTAAGCAGATTTAATTCTTGTTATTCTCTTTAGGGCCTTTGACAATTTCATAAAATAGGTGAAAGTATATCCTTGGCAGTCCCACTGCCATAAGAAGAGAATTTCTGTCTCCTTTTTTCATGTATATAATCTTTTCAACATCTCTTCAACACTTTCCCAAAGTGTCTATACAGGCAGTCCCTGGGTGCTGAACGTCTGACTTATGCACAACCCATAGTTACAGACCAATCCCTGCGAAGCGTGTTACATTAAAAATTCGAGGTGCATACAGTGGTTCATAATAACAGATGGGCACTACTTCGTGACGTGCATCAAAACATTATTATGTTAAAGATGTTTTAGTGTATCTGGAAGTGTTTCTTTAATATTTTCTGTATGTAGAAAGGTACACTGTATACTAAGACAAACATTTGCCATTAGATACAAACTGTAGCTAACTGCTTGACTTATGTACAGATTCCACTTGAAGACAGATTTAGGAATGGAACTCATTGATAATCCAGGGACTGCCTGTACGCGGCTGCAAGGAGCTCAGTGTTTGCATAAACATTCGGTTGCTCATTCTTCAAGCCCAACTCTAGTACACCTATTCCGTTTTGGGGGGTTTTTTTTGTTTTGTTTTTTTGCCACTTTAGCCTATATTGATCTTTTGCATCTCTGAATATGCCATTTGGGATTATATATCTTACTGTAGTATTTTTTTGTCTTGACTGTTTTATAATTGGTTCGTTCTCGTAAGTCTTATATTATGCCCGTGCCCACCAAGACTTTAAGTGCCTTGACAGCAGTAGGAGCTCTCTCTCGTTTTTATTTTTTGTCCTTCGTTGTGCCAGGTGGAGTGTAGGTGCTTGCCGCCTAGAAAGTACTCGTTGTGGTGTGAGAATCAGAGAAATGGGTATGAAGGAAAGAAGGGAATAACATGACACTGCGTATCTTTGCTTGAAGTCTGACAAAAATGTCCATTCTGCTGAGTCATTCTCTGATTTTTAAAAATTGTATAAATTTGTTGAACTTTTATAAAATGAGATTATAAACATATTTATGTGGAACTGTGTTTTTCCTCCAGAAATTATTTTAGGTTGGCTTTTTGTATTTTCTGTGTTTGACTTTTAGATCCGAGGGAGGTGGGAGGATAGAGAGAAAGCAGAAGGGCTAGAGGGGTGTAATGTAAAGAGGAGAAAGGTCTTCTCTAGATTGGGGACTGATTAGGGTCTGTCTCCTGGGTTACTCTTCTATTCCTCTCTCTTCTGGCTCTGCTTCCATTTATTTGGGGCTCCCTCCATGTTCCAACCAGGTAGAGTCGCCATATTTCCCTCAGGAAGAAGTCAGGGGACATTTGAAATTGGGACTGCTCCAGTTTCAGGTGATCGTTTCTGTATGAACCTTCACTTTTGTTATCAGTCTTTTTGCCCTTCCTATTCCCCCCCACCCCTTTTTTTTTCTTGGAGCCCTGGTGATGCAGTGGTTAAGAGTTTGGCTGCTGACCAAAAGGTCAGCAGTTCAAATCCACCAGCCGTTCCTTGGAAACCCTATGGGGAAGTTTTGCTTTGTCCTGTAGGGTCACTATGAGTTGGAATCGACTTGATGGCAACGGGTTTGGTTGTTTTTGTTTTTGTTTTTTTTTAATACCCCTTTAGATGAAACCTGATATACCTGTGATTTGATTTCCTCAGAGTCATGTTCCTTACGCTTTCAGTAGCTCATGTGACATACTAATCAGTATTAATTAGGTAGTAAAAAGTGGCTGTGGTTCCTTCCGCATAGCTTACATGTCAGCAACAGCCTTCTGCAGATAATGTCTTTGTGTCTGTTGTTTAAGCCAAGAGACTGGACGGTGGTGGGAATATCCCAGGGAGGGAGGGCAAAGCAGCTGTTGGAGAGCTGTTTAAAGATACGCAGAGTGTTGTAAGGGGGCCTGAAATTATAACACAGAGCTAGCTGCTTGATATATCTTGATTTCCAGTGTTTATTTTTCTTTTACTATTATGCTTTAAAAGATGTTTTTCACTTTCTTGTGTTGTGCAGATTTCAAATGAAGTTTTTCTACATATCACAGTTGGCTTACTGGCTTCATGCTTTTCCCGAACTCTACTTCCAGAAAACCAAAAAAGTAAGCTGGGATTGTGTAGCTTTAATTTTTTTTTTTTAAAGTCTTTCTAAATGAAGTATTTCTTCACATCTCTGCCCTCCCTGTTTCCTTCTCATGATTCTTCCTGTTTTTCCATAAAGATTACAGTCCTAAAGTATTTCTTGAAGAAAACCTTTAATCATTATTTTAACTTAAAGGAGAGTCTTTTATATTTGACGTGCTAATGGCTCATTTTAAAATTTTATTAGTGGTAATTTTTTAAATGTAAATTTAAATATATTTTTAAAATGAAAAAGTTTCACATTATTGATATTATTTGTAACAGTTCATTTCACAAGCAAGACAGAACAAATTTGTCAGATTACTCCAGAACTAACAGTTCTGTATGTAAATCCCAAAGAAAATTCAGCGTTGAAAAAAGTAAACCATAGTTAAATATTCACCAGTGAATAGCCTTTCCTAAAATGGGTGGAGCATTCCCTTTTTGGCTCGTGGATGGAAAAAGATGTTTATTTGAACACGTGTCAACTACGGAGCACTGCAATGTCCTTCTTTTGAGTTTTACCCCCAGTACTTCAGAAGTCAGACTTTCATGATATCACAAAAGTCAACTTTAGTTCCTTGATTTAACTCTTTCTCTCCCAAAACTGTACTAGCTCCTTGTTGCTTTAGACTAAAAGCTGCTGACCTGTGTGCTGAGGGCTTCTGTATGTGTACATCTTCCCGACCCCTCTGTTCTTCCTCTCTGCTTATTCTACATCACACCGATACTCGCTCATTTTATAATCCAAACATATCTGTTCTTTTTCCTGAAATACTTTCTCCTGCTTATAAATTAATCAAGTACCTTTATTCCCTCTTTTCTGGAGGTTATAAGAAATCCCCATAAGAAATATGTGGAATTTACTTCAAAATAATATTGAACGGGGAATGTGGATGAGGGTATAGATGAAACAGGTTTTGCCATGAGTTAATGACTGTTGAAGCTGGATTATGGATACTTCGAGTTTCATTATACTCTTCATTGTGTTTTATGTGTATTTACATTTCTCCATAATTAAAAAGTTTTTTTGAAAATCACATTACTTGGAAAGCCTTCCCAGGCAGAAGTGTGACAACCTGGCGGTGACCAGTGTATCTCTGCCTTATTTCTGTGTATACTGCAGATAGTTAATTTATGGATATTGGCACTTGATTTGTATGGTTTTCTGTCTGTTTTATGTGTCATATGTCTGTCATCATTGATATTATCTACTAGCATTAGGTAACAGCACCTAATTACAGGTGATATACTTTTTATGTTGATTTCTTTTATAAAGTAGAATGTTTTTTCCAGTTAAGTTGACTGTAAGGATTTGCATGAAGATCCTCTTACATTTTGAAACTTTTGACTTAGAACTGTCTTACGATCAG